TTTTGGCTAGCTTCACTCAACAAGTGGTTGGAATTTAGTGCACAAAGAATAAACAGTTTCTTACCTCTCATTTATACTAAGCTCCAATGCTTAAAAAGCAACATGGCCCTGAGAATGGGGGCTAACGGGCTGTCTACTAGACTAGTGGACTAATGTAACACAAGCACAGGAGTAAATTTAAAGCATAAGAGCTGTTTCATGCTGTCTCCTGCCCCAATTATAAGCAGCACAAAGGGATTCCTGGGCAGTGTTTACGCTGTAGGTAGTAGCAGTGTGACGGCAGCACACCACTACAGATTTAATGTGGTCAGCTCTGGCACTGTGAGCGCTGAAGCTGCAGTGCCAGGGGCCCTGTGAGCGTGCAGGGCAGCTCATCCATGCCATGTAGTGCTGTGGCCAAGGCAGCCCAAGAAGAGCAGTTCAGATATGTCTCAATGTGTAACAGTCTCTTTTCCCGAGCACAGTGCATGTAGATAAATGCAGAACAGCTATTCTGTGATATGAGGTGATTTCCCTCTGCAGATAAGACTTCGGGCTCCAGCTCGACAAAGGTCTAAGATGTTTGTATCCATCACTATTCATCCACGAACACTGACCTTTTTAGAAATATTATCTGTGTTTTAAGTGTTTTGTGGCATCAGTGCCTTTAAATGCTGCCTTCACTGCTCCGTCTGAATCAGTTCGTTCCAGGAGACAATACCTTCCAACGTGCTGGTTTGGCAGAAGGGTGGCTGTTGTAGGGGAGTGGGGGACATTCAGTGGCCACCCAGGCTGCTCCACCCACACTGTGATTTCACTGAAAAATGCTAACTGCACTGAACTAAAGGCCATGCAGCAGCCCTTCAAACAAGTGCCTTGCACATCAGAGGAGCTGCACAGCTCTTACAAGGAGGGGCAGGCTGGGGAACAGTTTGTTGCTGCTCCATTTCCTCTGAATTTCAGAGGACAGAAACTGCAGAAGGCTCCTATTATATATGAAGCTTGGCTCCTATTATAGTTCAAAATACTCCTGGTCAAATTTAGGAGGGACAGGGGACCGACATCAGCCTAGGTTTTATTATACCTTGGCTCCTTTTGGGAATTTAGAATTATCTCTGGTAAAAGAAAACATCTTGAGTCAAATACCCGGACCTGCCTGTGTACATATGAGCACTGTCAGCAGCTGGGTCTGTGACACCCGGATGTACCAAAGCCTCATCTTGCCCAGGGATGGGTAGACCTTTGTTCATTTGGGAATCCTCTAAGGGTGCATCTATTCATCCACAACCTACAGTTTTGTTCTAGATCCAGGACCCTACAGTGGTACGTGGTTTTGGGGGTAGAAGCACAGTGGGGAATGCCAAATGGAATAATTTAGTAAAAGTCTTGATAGATATTTGAAATTTTGCTGAAACAAAAAGTAAAACTGGATGTACAGCATCATAACAGCATTTCATGGCTGTATCTAAATTAAATTTAAAAAGATCCCATTTGAACCATGCGGTTTTTGTCTTTAAAGCTGCAGGTTACTCAGAGAGTTATGTTAAGGAAACTCTTCCCGGTTTCTGGGCTGAAATTAATCATTCATCTACCAAGAAGTTGATACCAAGAAGTGATTCTAACCTTGTATGGTAGAAGACCCTGCTATAGGAGAGGAACCGACCATAAACCATAACGTCAAAGCACATGCTAAGGGAACATCACAAGCAGATGTCTAAATAATTTCTCAATCATTTTCCCAGCAGAAAAAAATCCCCCAGATTGTATGTATCAAGAAAAGAGTGAATAAGAACTAATTAAGGTCAAGACTAAATCCTGGGAAAGACCCTGTTGTAACAAAACCAGTTGTGGAAGTGTGTAGCTCTTAGATTTGAGCAGCTCTAGAAATACAACAGAGACACAGGGTGAGTTTTAAAGACTGATGTGAGTGGGGAACGGTTCTCAGAGAGGGGATGGGACTGTCCCCTCTAGAGGACCATCCTCTTCAGAGGCAACATCAGTACCCATCAACACTACAACACTGCCCCCAGGGCTGATGAACCTCTTCAGGAAGGGTCCAGCAGGATGCTGACAAGGGCTCTTTGCACGAACTGCAAGCAGCTAGTGCCTGTTTTGTGGCATAAACCACTCAGCCCCCACAAAGGAGTGAGGACCCAGAACACGGCCAATGTCGTGCTGCAGATACGCCTGTGACTCACCGCAGTGAAAGAGTTGAAGAGATAGTAGAGAGCCCAGGCAATGATGACAATGTAATAGATGTTCAGCCAGAAGGAGAGAACCATAGCTGCCAGTCCCACTCCTGCAAATGAAGGTAGAGAGCAGCATCAGTCCAGGTCTCCGGTACCCAAGTGAGTTCACAGGCACCACAGCAAGTTTTTTGGCAGAACCAGAAAAAGTGAATCAGCTCATCAACACAGGGTGTGCTACAGTTGCACTGTGAGCTGGGCAGCAAGGGAGGCTCATTCCCTCTCGTCTCTCACCCGCCCATCTGCACAGGGAGAACAGTGCTACCTTTCCGTCTACTACGAGTTCTTTAGGCACAGAGCCCCATGAAAACAGGATCTGGTCACTTCCCTGGCAGAATTGCACTTTCCCACATTCAAGGCATTTCTAAATCACCACTGGTTTCTAGAACACAGTTACTCCAAGCACAGCAACAGGTTCATGCCCCCTCTGTACAGCTTTCCCATACAATTAAGGTAAGCCTACATAGGGAGGCTTGGAGCAACAAAGAGCCTGTTTGCTTGCTTGGAGCAACCAGAGCCATTCCATCACAGCCCATACTGCTCTCACCACACAAGACTGCTCAAATAGAGCATAGTGATGTTAATAACTGCAGACATCAGAGCCAAGGACAGTTGGATAATAATACCACCCCATCCCAGACCCAAGGGATTTGCTGACTTGCTCCTCAAACCTTTAATGGAATCTGTAGTTACGTGCCATTGGTTTCACAAACACACAGTACCTTTAAACATGGGTGCCAATCTCCAGACTCCCAGTCCACCGACCGAGGTATACTGGCCCAGAGCAGTTTCCAGAAGGAAAAGAGGAATCCCAGCAAACACCAGTGTCAGGAAATAGGGGATGAGGAAGGCCCCTGAAAGAAGGAGCAGTGTTATCAGACAGCTTCCTCTTTTACCATGAAGCAAATACCTCCAGCTGCGGTTTCTTGCTCCACAGCACCCACGTGAAGAGGAGCAGCCTTGCTTGGAGACGACAGTTTCCAGCTGGAGTTGGTGTGTTCCATGAGTCTCCCACTGACATCACCACTGCTTTACCCTTATCTGTTCCTATCACAATGAGTATTTATGTACCCTGTGTACATATACACCGGCATCACTAGCTATGCAATGCCAGTCTCACTTTGTTGTTAGCTATTCGGCAATTTGACCCAATCTGACAACAAACCCAAAACTTGGACACTGACACTGGTAACTTATTCTTGTTGATGCTTTCTGTCTTACCTGCAGCAGCTTTCAGTTCTTCACCATGAGGGAAAAGTGCAAAGGAATATCTAGCATTGGCCACTGCTCTCTTTTTTTATAGTTATTTCAGTCTTTTAAGAAAACTGCGACAAAGGCTGTATTTTCTCTCATAACAGTGCTATATACCTAGCTATCCATGTTTTAGATTTCACCCTTAAAATTCCTGGTAAAAATATTACTCTTCTCTATGGCCCTGTGGAAATCTCTTCACTATAAACAAGGTAGTGCAGCCATTCACTAGAGATATTACTGGCACCGAGTTATAAGAAGAGGGAATAGAATAGGAGAGCCTTGCTGTGTGATTTGAAGGCTGTACATGTTCAGGTCATCCTGACATTTAGGACTTGGGACAAAGCTCATTTTCCACCTTTCTCATGCATGTGCTGGAGCATGCCATCATCCCTGAGGAGGACAAACTCTGGCTGGGGACAGAGGGGGGACACTCAGTTTGCTCAGAAGCAGCTGGCCATGTTTGGGACAGCACTGGTTTCTGCACTAGCCGAAGGGCTGAGCTGTCAGTATGAGTCTTCTTCTCCAGATAATAGTGGGAAAGCAAAGACAGAGCCAGAGAGCAAAGCCACTCCGGAGAGCTGCGGCCCAGCTTGCACCTGGCAGAGTCAGGCTCCAGCAGCTGCTCTCTGAGGGTAGGGACGCAGTGAGGCACAGCCAGGGATGCTGGCTCAGGGGACACCCAGCTGGGAACGCCTGCCTGCCAAGCAGGGAGCTGAGCCCAGCTGGGAGAGGCAGGTGCCAGCACCCAGCATGGGAATCTGTGGGAGGCAGCATGCAAGAGGAGCTGGCAGTGGGTGGTGGGGAGGAAACACTCTCCGGGCCAGCAGCTTGATGACCATGAGCCTGAATCACAAGCTGGCGTGGAAGCACAGGCTCTCAGCTTCACCAGCAGCCTGGTGAGGAGGAGAGAGCAGCTTTGAGCAGCGCTGCACACTCAGCATCCTCCCTTGTGTTCTTCCTGGCCACCACAGGCTGCAAGGTCCACTCCCCTTTGGAGGCCTGCAGGAGGACACGGATGCTGCCACCCTGCCACTGTGGAGTTTGGAGGCTGAGCTTATGAGCAGTGCAAGTGTCTTCCTCGCTTCTGTGCAAGCAACTAATGAAATTTGGCCACAGCCCTGATAATCCTGCATTTTTCATCCGCAGCAGGCCAGGAAGGTTTGTAGATGAAAGATTTTATGAGACTATTGAGAAAAAAACAACAGATGAACTTTTGGACACAGGTCTTTTGTCCAAAAATCCTCAAGAATATTGGAAAATCTGCAAACCAGGGCACTGATAACAGCCCCAGGTGCTGTACAGCCAGAGTGGAAATCAGTTCTGAAATTTGTACCTAAAATCTGCAGGTCTCTGCCTAAATCCTTGGCACAGAGAGAAAGGAATGGTCTTTAATCTCCGGCCCTGGATGAGCTGCTAAAAGGTCTGGTTCACATCCTGAGCCTGCTAGAAATGGTTGTGTGTGACCTTGTGAGAATCCCAGGTTGTCCCCGAAGTCCATGGAGTTAAAGGGGTGATGGTGCTGGTCCTGCCCTGCCTGCTCAGAGCACTGATTCTTGGAGGCACGGAAGGATCATACAGCCTGGCACCCACTGAGCAGCCCCAAATCTGCCTGCAGTCTCCAGCTCCTAATGACATAAAGCCAGGAATAACAATTAATCCTTAAACAAGGAACACTGCCCACGAATCAAAAGTTGAACATTACAGGCTGTTACATGCCGTTAGTTTGAGCCTCAGTGTGCAAAAGAGGAATGCATGATGCTTATTTAAAGAATTGCTTTTCTCTCAAGTTATTCAAGCTCAGGATCTCACGGATAATTTTTAGCATGCACTGAGCCGCATTTAGAGTGAATTTAGAGTCCGGTAAAACCCTGTTGAGATCAGAAGGACTGCACGAGGTTAGAAATCGGCGTAGAGGCTGGAGCGTTAGGCACATCTGGGCACATCCAGCTGTGTGCAGAGCCAGCAGGGAGCCCAGGCATCAGTTTGGGCGAAGCCTGCTCCCCGCAGCCGACGGGCCGTGCGCTGGGCTGCCGTGCCCGGGGCTCCCTGCAGCGAGCAAACCAGCCGTGAGCCGATGCAACGTGACAGCGGTAAGTGAGACGACAATATTTCCATTCAGTTCAATTTGCCTGTGCGTAATGGAAGCAGCCCACACGACCGCGCTCTGAGCAGCGCACATGCAGGACGCTAAAATTAGAGTCCCACCCACAGTCTGCTCTGCTCCGGGGGCGCCTCCGTCGGGGCAGAGCCAAGGCGGTGCCCACCCGATTGCGAATCAGATGCCGTGCGACCCTGCCTCGCATCGGCTCCCGGTGACGCTTTCGTGCGTCAGCTCTCCCGCCTGTCTCCAGCATCGGCAGCCTCCACTCGCCGCTCATTATTGCCGGCTGTGGGAACAGTCGTGCCTGCGAACAGCCAGACCTGGTAGGGGTGAGAGGAATGAGGGATCCGGAGCGCCACGGACGGCACGAAGCGGCAGGCGAGGCAGGGTGTTTGGGAGGGGGCAGGCACCGATCCCTGCCTTTCATCGGTCCGGCGCTCCTGCTCACAGCCGGCTGGTCCCTCTGCATGCCTGCAGCTGCCAGGGCAGAGATCACCCTGCGTGCCATTGCTCATGCTAATAATAGTGCTCCACACCTCCACAGCATCCTCTGTCCTACGTTCTCAGCTGATTTTATAAATAGGGTTGATTTTAGCTTCACAACACCCTTCATCTAATTATAGGTATTGTCACCCCCACCTTTATGTGTGAGGAAACAGCCATGGGCATCACAGATCCAGCGTGAGATTTGAGATGACACAGCAGCCACAGGGCAGATACTGGCTGGTGCTGGGACTTAGCCACGGGGCTAATGTTGTGTGAGGAGGGCTGGCAGTCAGGTGCTGGAGTGTGGCTAGATAAAGGTGACAAATCCACACCGTGGCTCTGTCATTGGTGGCACAGGTTCCCCTAGGAAGGCCTGGCTGATTCCCATAAACCTCACTCAGCTCAGCTGCATATTTATGCCTCTACACAAAACCCAAAGAAGATGTGGATGTCCCATCCCTAGAAGTGTTCACGGCCAGGTTGGATGTGTCTTTGTGCAACCTGGTCTAGGGAAAGGTGTGCCCACCCTTGGCAGGCAGGTGGGAACTATCCGATCTTTAAGGTCCCTTCCAACCTATGATTCTATGATCTTTAGGATCCCTTCCAATTTGAACCATCCTATGATTCTATGCTTCTATGAAAACAACATACTCCACTAAAATCTTTTTGTCAAAATTGATAAATGTCTGATCTCCTGCTGGAACTCACTCCACATGCTTCAGCGAAAGAGCCAAGATACCATGGAGTTACATGGACAGACTGCTTCAGGGAGCTAGACCCTTCTCCTCTTTTCCAGGGTTGGAGGAGAAGAGCACTCCTACACTACCTGTGACACGGACAGCAGAAGTGGATTTGAGTCATGAGAATCAAAGGCAAAAGGAAAATAAAAACGACATGGAGAAGAAGCATGAAAAGAGACCCTCAGAGCAGCGTGAATGAATGTGGCACCAAGGACAGCGACTCTGGGCAGGGAAGAGCTAAGAGGGAAGCAAAGAGCCACGTGGGAAGAGTAGCAGATGATACTAAAATTATATATACAACTTTAAAGGGGAGGAAAAGGGGTTTGGACTTGTGTGGGAAGTCTGAGAAATGGTTCAAGGAGGTGAGCAGCTCTTCAAGGTGCGGGAGAAAGGTTATTTTGATAACAGGCACAAACGATAGGAGAGCTGGGCATGGAGTGAGGAGAAGAAAGAGCCTCTGTTCTACTAACACCAGTCCATACTATCCTCCCAAAAAGCATCTCCCTGCTAGGCTGAAGAAATAGCACTATTTTAGAGGGGAGCTGAGGTACAGAAATTTATTTTCTGACTTGATCCAAGACATGCAGAAGGTCTGTAGATGGGCAGGGAGCTGATGCTCCAGATCTCTTGATTTCTAGCCCAGAAGTGTTTCCCCATCTGCCTGCCTTTCTCTAGCCTTTCAGTGGTTTGGCAAAGCCTCAGCAGATGATGGTAAGGAAAGGATGTAGTGATGCAATAATAAAGAGAATAAAAAGTAGCCGGTGTTAGTTGTCTGCAGAAGAGGGCACTGCTACCAGCTGCATCCCACTGTAAGTGGGTTCTGCATCCTTTGCCAGCTGCCTGCTTGTCTTATGGCCTCTGTTTTCCAGGCCTTAGGATGGAGATGATAACTGTGACCCTTCTCGCAGCACCCTAGTAAGTCAAAGCTCATTTCCCTCCGTAGATGATGACACGTCATCGTGTGTACGTGTACATAAGTATATTTGTTTGTAAATACGTCTACCCAGCCCATGCAAAGCTTCTAATCAGAACTCCTTAGACATGTGATCCAAACTCACAGGAAAAACTGTTATCCCTTGAGAATACACTAGGTTGAGGAGAACCTCACCATTAGCAGGTTTCCCTGGGAGCGCCCCAGCATCCAACTGGGTGCCTATGAGCATAGTCCTCCTTGTAAATAAATGAGGACAGTCTTTTCTGTAGCCCTGCAAATTTGGACTGCAAAAGCTTGACAGAACTCAAACTTCTTGTTTCATTTCTTCGTACAACTTCTTCCCAGCTTGCACTTGCTAGTTAAGCCCACAGATCTGAGAACTAGTTTCCTGACAAGTTAATAACTCACATCATGAGGGAGAGCTCTCAGCTGGAGGATCAACCCAGACACACCAAACCAAAGCCTGTTCAGGGACACGGCTGCTCAGGGATGAATACAGGCACGGTGTGTTTCTCTTACCTCCTCCATTCTTGCCACAGAGATAAGGGAAGCGCCAGACGTTGCCCAGACCAATAGCGTAGCCCACACAGGACAGCAAGAAGTCAAATTTCCCCTTCCAGGAACCTCTGTCTGGGAGCTCCTTCTTCTTCTTCTTGGTGCTCACAACCTCAGGGGTGATGGGCTCTGGCTCCTCCAGGGCTGCCTGCTTCACCTCGGAGGGAGAGTTCAGCTCCACAGAGGGGTTGTCCATCTTGCCCATGGTGACTCAGATGTGTGGCCACTCTCGCTGAGGGGCTGGAGGAGCAGTAAGGGCAGCTTCTGCCTTGGGCGAGCACAGATGAAATGGGAAGCACTGGGCAAAGCTCCTGATGAGAAAGGAGAGAAAGAATCCTGTGTCAGTGTAGTGGACTTAGGGGAGGGTCTTGCTGGGTCTGAGGCGGACTCACTGGGTAGACTGGTGCACATCAGTGCAGCCTATCCATGCCTCCCTGCTTTCCCCGGAGAGGAGGATAATTTTGCCTTGCTCGAAGCTGCCCTTCTGAGGAGTTGTGCCCATATAAACTGCTAACAACAGACTCAGACCTGGCTGTTACCAGTACATAACAAACCCTTCAACTCTCATCTTATCTCCTTCTCATCCCAATGCTCTGTAGGAAAAGCTCCTGGACCAGTACACATGTGGGTGATCCAGCACAGAGCAGTCCAGGAAGAGAGATATATCCGGCATGTCTGAGTGACAGTGGAAAGGGGCATGGTGGAGGTGCCACATCTCCCAGGTCTGGGGCCCAAAACTGAGTGCATCAGCCACGGAGCCATCTGAGAGATGGTGTGCCCTAAGGAGTATATAACCATCACACCAAAACAATTCGGAAAGAGAGCGAGAGCAGGCTGTGTTATTTAGACCTGTGTCTAAAACAATATTGCACTCGTGTCTTGAAAACTAAGTGCAGTTCTCCCTTCTTGTTGCAGAAGCTATTGCAAAGGCAGAAAAAAGCATGAAGGAGAGACAAAAGGATGCTTAGAAGTGTGGAGCATCTTCCACGTCAAGAGAGGCTAAGAGAGAGAGGGTCCATTGTCCTGTGGAAGAGGTAACTGACAGGGGCCTATAAATGTATTATTGTCATAGAGTATGAATATTCACCATTTCTGACATAGGAACGGCAAGAGATTGAACCAAGACAGTGGGTGGTAGGTTCAAAGGGATCAAAAGGGGATATTTCACAAAATGTGCAGCTATTGAGCAAGAGTCCCCACTGCAGAACATGATGGATGCTGAGAGTTTACATGACTTCAAAAAGGAAATTAAGGGGAAAAATAATGGAAGGAAAATCCACCAGGATCTACCACTGCAGTTCAGGAAAACCCTGAGCTGTAAGTTATTGGAGGTTGAGGGACTCTTCCAAGGAAATAACACTTCCTACTTTTCCTGTTTGTATCCTCTCCACTCAGCATCTGCCCTCAGCCAGAACAAAAGACAGGGGACTGGCATGGTCCTCCACCAAGGACAATGAGGGTGACTAGTACTACAGTCTCCCAGAGAGGTCTGTTGACAGAAACATTCCCAGATACACACATTGGAAAACAAAAACAACCAAAAATCCCACCAAAAGCAAAGCAAAGTAAACCAAACCAAACAACCCCCCCAAGCACCACTCCCCCACAAAAAAAAAAAAAAAGAGAGAGAGAGAAGAAGAAAGGAAAAAAAAGAGAAAACCCAAGATGATATAACATAAAACACAGCAATGCTGTGAAGATATGTCCTGCTCTAGCAGTTAAAGTTGGCTTTGCTTGAGCTTCTTTCAACATAGTTGGTCTCTACTCTTGTCTCCTAAGCAAACAGTACCCATTTATCCCATGGGATGCTTGGGGGACTCATTAATTAGAGTTTCTGAAGTGTCCTGGACAGAGATGGTCCCCCAAGTCCAGGCTTAATGTCAGTATTGACTCCTGCTTACTACAATGATTACATCAGGTGGATTTCCTTCCCCCACAGAATTCATCGCTGAGGTTAGAAAAACTGTATCAACTGTGAAGGGAATGGCTGAACAAGAAAAAAAGCCCTGTAATTCATTCTGGTAAGTCAGTGGAGAAGCCAGAAATCTCCTTGCTGTGGGATGAAGGCTGTAACCAAACCCTCTGAGCTATGGAGCCCACACCAAGCCTCACAACTCCTCTAGCCTGAGGATGGTTGCAGGTAAGCCCAGCAGTAAGTGGCAGCATGAAAATGCTTTCTGGGGAGAAGACACCATTTCACAGAGCCCATGAGACAGATGCCAGAAGTATTGCAGGACACCCAGAGCAAAGGCTTTGGTGAACAGATCCCATTTCTGTCCTACACCTTGTGATAGCACTGTCACACCAGCTCCTGGCTCCTCAGTAAGGAGCAAAAGGATTATAAAGAACATGTAGGAGGAAAGTAAAATAAAGACAATTTATAAATCAAAACAGAAGAAATAGCACCAAAACCCCTGGGAAGAATTCAGAGCTGGGCTAAGTTAGGATAATTAGCTATGCCTGGAGACATAACAAATTAGACTCAGCAGAAGCCATTTTGATTTTTTTTTCCTGAGACAAAAAACAGTAGGTAAGCTGCTATCTTAAAAAAGTATGTATGTATCCTGCTCTCTTTTCCCTGTTCCTGTTGCCACAATTCTGGAGAGATACTGCAGCCAGATAATCACACCTCATATTTCATATTCTTGGGGTAGGATGATAGAGGAGCAGCAGACCATACTGCCAATTTCTTCTTACCTGAGAAGTGAGGTCCTTCATTTCCAGCTCAGAAAGAATAAGCTATATTTATAGAGGTTTCTCCACAGTCAAGAAATTGAAAAACAGTCAAGAGGACCCACTGAAGATTCATCCCACCTACTGGTCTGTCTCCTAGAGTGATGGATGATTAGGGCAGAAGAGCTCATGCATGTCCCACAGCCTGGCTGTGCCATGTCCTTCCCCAGACATATAGCCTTGACCAGGAAAAATACAGGCATCAGTTGCTCCAGGCTAAGTGTTTGACTCCTATGTTTAGACACCAGCTCACACGCTAGACAAGTGGTCCTACTGCAACAAAATGCACCAGCCCCTCCACTTATCTACATGGGTCTCCTCCAGCACAGTCACAGGGCTCTGTCCTGTGCTGACAGCCTAGAGAGAGTAGAGTCAGTTCAGCAGCTGTCATGTCAGATTATTCGTTCTGAAAAGCACACGGCGCTTGGGGCACAGCAAAATGCCTGAAGGACTCAAAATGATAATCAATAAGAGCACAGCTACAAGCTGGAGGTGGGCTCTGCTTCACAAGGACTTGAAAACAAGGTCAAAGAGTTCAAATATGACACTACAGCTGGTTTCTCATTCGGCTTCTTCCAAATACACCATATTCTGAAGCCAGGACTTTCAAAGCAATCAGTGAAAGCTAGCACCATAAACCCCTGACAGCAAAGGACTGAGTTGTGTTTCACTGGGTTGTGCAGAAGGCCTGGTCTTCTCCTCCTCAAGTCAATAAAAACAATTGCCAACGTCCTCCGCGGGTGCAGAGCCAGGCTGAAACACATTCTGGAAAACAGTCCTTCCCCTCCTCTTTTTTGAGGGATTTTGCTTCAAATAAGAAAATAGCACTGAAAAAGTATTGCCTCCACTTGAAATGCTGCCACCTGAAACTGCTAACAACAGTGACCTTTTTACTTTTCCCTGCTTCAGCATGAAATATTAACAATCTCCTCAAATTTGACAGAAACCAAAAATTTCGAGGGCATAAAATTGCCTGAACTGAAACAGCACAATGACCTATGGAAACGTGTGTAAGAAATACTTACACACACATCCCCACCTCTTATTTTTCAGTGCCTTAACAGCCACACAAATCGCTTCTGACCCATGCAGGTAGAACCACAATTAGTTTAATTACACAGTGCAGGCTGTTGTTCAGTCAATTAGACTTTTCCTTCCATCCACACCATTTTAATGACAGCCAAGTAGCCTCAAGGCTCTTGCGTCTTGTTTAGAGCCGTGACCAGCCGATCAGGGCACAGCAGACTCTCGGTCGATTTTCTGCTCGCTGCAGCAGCAACATATGCTTGACCTTCCCGCATCCGTGAAAGCTGGAGGGTCTGGGGAAAAGCCCTCCGTGGGAGCCTGAGGATGCTGGCAAGGTGCCGGCCCCACGTGGAAGCCACTCAGGGCTGGAGCATTGCTGCCCTGTAAAGCTGGGTCAGGCAGACAGGACTTGTGTTTCACAGCCCTCTCCATGTTCTGACCAAGGGGCAGCCACTGCAGTCACCCAACCTTTCATCTCCCTTCCCCAGAAGACGGGCAATTGCTTGGTCACAGGAGAAGTCAGCACTCACAGAGGATGTGAGAAGAAAGCAAATCAGTTCTCCTGGGTGATGGAGCTGCTGGGTGGCCTCCACCTCCACCCCGTTTTACACCCTCTTGCATAAGATCTAAGTTGTTGATGCCCAGGTCTGACCTGCAGCTCCTTCCCAATGTCCCTCTTCCACCAGCAGCCAGGGGTCACCCGCATTGCTCCTAATGATGTGGCAGGTGAGACTGGCACCACACCAGAACCCTATCCACACGAGCAGAGGGGGCAATTAGAGCATGACCCACATTTCATAAACCATTAAATGAAGGGAACATCTGCATGAGTCAGAATACATCTTGCAGCCCCCAGCCTTGATCCCAGGAGGGCTGTGGCAGTCCCTCAAAGCCATGAAAAAACAGGTGAAGAACCTCTGAGCTTCTGGTGCTGGCTGCATCCTGCCATGCAATCTCTTTGCCAAGGAGCACCTTCCTTCTGTTACACATTCAGGAGGAATGGGGTCAGCTATTCCAATGCCCTCCCTGTCTCCAGATGCCCACTTGAATCTCCTCTAGCTCCTCATCCCTCAGGGGGAAGTGGGCTCAGATCCTGCTCCTGGCCACAGATTGTTCTTCACTCACCACTGCTGCTCTCACCTGGGTGTCTGGGGCTGCCTTATGTTCTCCCTAAGGAAAGCAGGGTTTTGTGCCTTTTTTGAATGATGCAAATGATGCAGCCTCTGAGCCATTTTAGTGCTCTCATTTAAAGCTCATCCTGGCCCCTCGGAAGCTTCCCCAGGAAGCAGAGAGATGGCAGGACTCTTCTTTGGCTCCTGCATACTGTCCTGACTCAACCCAAGCCACCACAGCAGGAAGAGGATCAAGGCCAGGCCACATCCTGCTCCCTTCATGGCAGTCTCGGAGCAGACTGCAGGCTTCCAGATTGGGAAAGACAGACAAGTGGCTTAAAGGCATCCCCGTCTCCATCCTCCTCAGCAAAAGTACCACATCAAAAAGATTAAAGGCCTATTTCTGCTCATTTTAAATGTGCTGATTAAATTTAAAAGCG